TTTTTTTTTTTTTTTTATAGAGAAAACATACAATTAATATACTATATATATATATCATTACTTCAAATGTAACAAATAATTTTTGTAAGCCCATTAAGCCAGTCATCGCAGGACTTTATTTTTTATTTTATTTGATTTTATTTCTTAAATATTCATAAAAAGTGAAGGGGAAAAGATAAAGAACACAAAATAGAAATCGGACGGAAATTATATTCAGTATTTACTTTCTTTCTTCTTTCTTCTCAAAAGTGTGTTCTTTCCATATAATTTCATTGTCTTTTATAGGCAAATTCTACCGACACTAATACACCTCCATTATTCATACTCATACCTCATTTACTATTCACATTTCATCAAATAGTGAAATGTCACTATTTGTGCGTAGTGGTTTATTCCACTTGTTATATTATAACACTCCCCCTTGGAAGAACCACTATGCAATGTGCGTTTATGCTGCCTCATTAAAAACCTTATCCGGAAAAACCCTGTGGGAAAAAAAACTGAGATAAGAAAAAAAGAGTACAGCCGCACATGCTCCCCCTCGAGTTATCATCCGTGCAAATCTCGAAGATGTCTCATTCCAATGTTATGGACATACTTTCGAAATGTTGTAGTTGGGAGCGCCTTTGTAAATAAATCTGTTGCGTTATCACTTGATCGAATATATTGAATCTTGATTTGTTTGTTCCTTTCAAGCTCTTGGGTGTATGAAAAGAACTTTGGTGGGATATGTTTAGTTCTGTCACTCTTGATGTATCCTTCTTTGGTTTGAGCGACACATGCTGCATTGTCTTCGAATATCACCATCGGGTCTTTATTATTCGATAATCCACTGGCTTGTTGAATGTGTTGAGTCAGATGCTTTCCCTAGTTGCTTCATGCAGTGCAATGATTTCAGCATGGTTTGAAGATGTAGCAACTAGTGTTTGTTTATGAGAACGCCAAGAAAATGCAATTCCACCAATAGTGAAAATGTAGCCAGTCTGAGATCTCGCCTTATGTGGGTCTGATAAATATCCTGCATCTGCAAAACCAATCATTTCATTTTTTTATCATTTGAGTAAAATAATCCCAGATCGATTGTTCCTTGGGGATAACGGAATATATGCTTGATTCCATTCTAGTGTCTCCTCGTAGGTGACGAGTTATATCTTGCTAATTGTTCGCTAATTATTTTTGCTATCCGCAAGTGTACGCGTAGCTATAGGTAGTGGCGAGCAAGGTCGTATTCCACAGAGATTGTAGTTAAATTAATTAAGTACTAAAATAATAACGATTAAATATTATTTAGACTAACGAATGAGATGATGATTTTAAACTATGAAATTAAACTAAGAACTAACTTACCTAAAACAATAAAAATAAATCAAGATATAAAAGATAGATTCTAGGTTCTGCTTTCCTCGGAATTAATTCATGAAACGTTTATATTCATACAAACCTTATTTAATTTTACCAATCGTAGAGATAATCGCTAAATTGATTTCAACCTTTCTCTCGAACAAGCAAATCGTAGATATTAATTGTTATCTATCTCCTCTCGGTCTCAAGATGAACAACTAACTCCCATAAGTTCCTAGGATTTTCGTTCTCTCGCAAGATTTTATCAACCTCTCGGTCTGTTTAATCTCCTACGTTATAAATTTCCCAATTCTAGCAATCAATTATCTCCTCTCGGTCTCAAATCGATCACAAATATGCATTCATAGTGGCCATCTACTCACGCAATAAAAATACGCAAAAGAAATTCATAAACGAAAGATAAACCGGAATGAAATAAACAAAAACTAAATCATAAATCAATCCGAGTACTAACAAATCCTAGAATCCAAAATAAATTAGCCTAGAAACATGTTTTCAAAATAAATATAAAACACTGAGTTCGAAAGAAGAAAAGAAAAAGAAAGAAAAAGCTTATTCGGCTCCGTCGATCCTTTCTTCCCTGGCTTTCTCCCTCGTCTTGCTCGTGTTTCTAGCCTCCAAAGCTCTCCAAAGATCTGAAAATTAGGTTCTCTCCTCCTCAAAAACGTGTCCAAGTGTCCCTTAAATAGTTGGGGTCGAGTCCTAATTGAAATAGGTCGAAAATACCGAAAAAATAGGAAAATCGCGAAAAACGCGTATTGGTCGCGCCCAGGGTCACACGACTCGTGTCTCAGGCCACACGAGTCGTGTGAAAATGTCGAAAGCTAATTTAGGACCTGTTCGGATCGACACGACCCGTGTTCTGCATCACACGACCCGTGTTGGTCTGGGACTTCAAATTCGGGGCGATTTTCAACTCCTGCTGCGTTCACGTCATCTCAGGCGTCTCTCGTTGATCAGTTGACGTTCAGGCAACCGTGCATAGAATTTTCCGGCCAGCTCTCGCGTATACCGACGTCCTGCGGTTGCTCTGCTCCTCTCCAGTGACAGCAATGGCGGTTCTGGCAGCTTTTCAGGTTGTTTGGTCGAGCTCCGGTGGCGATTTGGCCCGGCGGAGAACGGTTCTCCTTGCGTCCAGCAGCGGCGAGGCAGTCCGGTGTGAGCTTGGTCGAGCAACAATGGCAGACATGGCGGATGGGCTGCTTCACGTAGAAGAAGAAGAAAGGAGATGACATTATATCACATCGAAATTACAATTTTGCCATTACTTAATTTGGTTTTGGGCCAGCCCATTTCCTTGTGCACCTGGGCCTAATTAAAGACTTGACTCCATAAATATAAGGCTGCCATGTAGTATTCTTGCAGGCTGATGATTGGGCCTCCTCCAATAAATCTGTTTCTCGCCTTTTTCCTCTCCAATAATTCAAAATAACACACTTCATCATAGCTTAATAAAAAAAATTAATTAATTAATTAATTAATTATTAAACTACAACGAAACGAGCACGTAAATCACTATAAAATGCACGTAAATATGACGCATGTCACTAATAAGTTGGTAGCAAAAGATATATCTGGTCTGGTGCAATTAGCAAGATACATAAGCCCCTATTGTACTCATATATGGTACCTCAGGACCAAGTATTTCTTCATTTTCTTCACAAGGTCAAAATGGATCATTTTCAACATCTAATGTTCGGTTAACCATACGAGTACTAAGGGGATTAACTTTGTCCATATTAAATCGTTTGAGTACTCTTTTATTA